GCTTTAAAAAACAAGCTCACAAATAACAGCACAAACAAAAATCTCGTGAACTACCAAAACGCAATCAAAATTCAAAATGTCAAGAATTTAATTTGGCAACGTTACATTTTTTGAAGTGGTGTTACCAACTGAATGGCCAGCGGGAAATTCAAATTCCAATTCAGTCAATCCGACGCCGAATATTTTCACGGTTGGCGATAACAATTTTAAAAATGGCGTCATCGATGTCACAACAACAAGTTTATTTGGTATGAACTTATAGGTACTTGTTTACCTCAAATAATATTAAAAAACCCCCAAAAAATAATAAAAAACACCAACTGAAAAGTTCTAGCACAGGAGTCCACACTTAACAATAGAACACTTTCTCACTCTGCACCTTTTTTGTTTGTTAAAATATTACTTCAACACGTCCTGAAAAACTATTATGTATTACAATTTGGCTGATTATCGATTTAAAAAGTACGCACATGAATGTAAATATCGTTTGTTCATCCCATTGAGGTAGGTTTGTCCAATGACATGTTTGTCCCCATAGACTAATATACAGGGTGGGGACTTTAACTGGAACTAATTCGCTAGAGCCTTCGGATAAAATATGTGGACAAAACGCAAAAGCACGTCGATCAAGATTTTTTTTTTGAAATTTTTCCATATTAATTTTTTTATACAGGGTGTTCCAAGAACAGCTGTACGGCTATCAACTTTATTTTTCCAAATAGTAGCCCCTGTATATTATGACATTTCTGGATTCTGCTGAAAATTCTAGACATATTTCATGTACAATGTTATATACCTATCTTCAACTGTTTCGGAAATATTGACAGTTGAAAATTGACTTTTTTGCAACTTTGACAGGCTGTAAAACCTAAACGGTTAATTTTAGAGGAAAATCAGTTCACATTCCTGCCTTAGATTTTCATAAACTATCATTTGACACTAACTTTGAATTTAACTGTAAATTGAATTTAACTGGAATTTTTAATCATGGATTAAATTCAAAGTTGGTGTCAAATGATAGCTTATGAAAATCTAAGATAGGAATGTGAAATCGGTTTTCCTCTAAAATTAACCGTTAAGGTTTTACAGCCTGTCAAAGTTGCAAAAAAGTCCATTTTCAACTGTCAATATTTCCGAAACAGTTGAAGATAGGTATATGACATTGTGAATGAAATATGTCTAGAATTTTCTGCAGAATCCAGAAATGTCATAATATACAGGGGCTACCATTTGGAAAGATAAAGTTGACAACCGTACAGCAGTTCTTGGAACACCCTGTATAAAAAAATTAATGTGAAAAAAACTCAAGCAAAAAATCTTGATCGACGTGTTTTTGCGTTTTGTCCACATATTTTATTCGAAGGCTCTAGCGAATTAGTTCCAGTTAAAGTCCCCACCCTGTATATAGGGGGTAAATAGACTGGACTCTCCAATGTTAACATATCATGTCGTATTTTAGCGCCCTCTGCCGACTGAGAGTGAACTATAAATACTAGTTCGGTCATTCTCCGAGAGATAGCCTGTTGACCTGAAATAGTATTCATTCGTATTCGTGCTCTCAAAAAAAATTAGAAACAAATCGTACACAAATCAAAAATACAAGCAATAAGCGAGCTACTGAATACAATATACAATACTACTAGCTTTGTTTGTTTATTTGCACCAACACCAAAAAGATCAATGAAAAAGACAGACTGACAGAGACAGCCAAACTTGGCTCAATGGGGTGGGCGTGCACGCGCCTAGCATCGAAATCAGTTTGGCAACGTTGGATCGCAGTCCTATGTTTAGCCGCCAGTCTCGGATATATCCATGTCTATTATAAAAAATTAAAAATAACGTATTTGAATTTTAGTCAGAGAAATACGTTACCTCCAAATTTTGATGATAGATATCCATTTATATCCAATAATTCCTATGTATTCATATTTGAAATTTCAAAAATATGGCGGCGGGGCCTCTATTCATCGTCGCCACTGTTTGAGGCCGGCAGAGGTTTGTCGAGTCCCTAGTTTTTCACAAGAATAAACACAATCAAAAGACAATTTCAATTTAAATTTAGAAATATGGCAAGGCCAAATGACAATGACATTTCCGATAAAGGATTCGGTATTTGTTTCATTTTCACTTTCATAACCTCAGTTTTATAAGACCAGCAGAGCCATCAGCGGTCACGAGTGAACTAAAAAAGCTGGCTCAAAGCGGTAATATGAGTGCGCCGACCATGTTTGTCCCTCTATCAAAGTGACATTATTTGATTTGTGACATAATACGTAATAGCTAGCGCCTGTGTGTAAATAGTCCCTAAACGATTTTTCTGTCCCCCCATCGAAAGTGAGGTTATGTGTGAGATGTCAGCTAGCACCTAATTTCACTGCAATAGTTTGCAGCATATAGCATCACTTCTTCTTCAGCTGTGTCACTTCTTCTTCAGCTGTGTCATTCTCCTTCTATGTTTCATGGGGGCGACCTATGTAATTACCTCTCAATTTTCTATAATTCCCTTTAAAACCCCTGTGATTTCATCTGCCTCTAATATTTCCCCTCCTTTGTGGACACTGTGCTTGAAAATGTTGTGGGCTGCCACATACAAAACATGTTCTGGTATTTACCTTTACATTTAGGCCTAATTACTATCTTGATAAAGTCCAACAAATACCATTTTAAAGTCACGTGATTTTTCTCTATCCTTGTTGAATACATATTAAACAGTGCTGATAGTAAAATTGACAAAAAAATCAGTGTCTAATTATTGTTCATAATATTTTTACCTGAAATAGAATCCGTCACTGTCATCCATTAGTTTGTCAAAATTATTTTCGAAAATGATACAACGAACAAACAGAAAACAGACCTAATAATTTTGATTATATTAACCTTTTTCCAACTCGAAAAGACGCAAATAGAAAACGGGTACCCAATTCAAGTTCAGAATGTATTACAACAGACAGCAGATGCGACAAAAGTGAGTCTCGCGACAATTGCAAGTATTAAAATTCCCATCTGATTGGTCAATACTACTTCAGAAACGCGTTTGTAAAATGCTAGTGGGAACATATCCTAAAATTCAATAGTAATTAACCACCAGTAGCTTTTTGTAGGTGATATCAACGACATAATCAATGAACATACGTTTTTTGCCACCAATATCACGTGACTTTAAAATGGTATTTGTCGGACTTTAGCTCTGTCGTTGTTTGATTTAATTTTTATTTTCTCATCCAGCAGCCTAGCCTTTACAAAATCAAACTTAACATTTGCGACAGTCTATATCAGAGCTGCCATTACTGTGTCATACTGCGCTGGCAGGGACAATAATAAATGACATACTTTATCATTCTCACTCAGGTCCGATCCATTATCTTTGAGCTCTCTAATAATGGTATCAAATTTCAAAAAATGGTCTACAAGCCTCTCATTTGTGTTAGTTTTGAGATTTAAAAGTTTTCTCCAACAACAGGACAATCTTGTAAATGAGCTGGAACGTATAGTATTTCCAAACTCAATTGGAACAAGTCACCAACTGGTGGCTGACTAGTCACTGAAAATTCCCATAAGAAATGCACTGCCACTAGTTAGCCACCAGTTATGATTTATGTTCACCTTGTTCCAATTGACTTTGGAAAAACTATACAAAAAGATTTGCTATCTCACTAGGTTCATTATGCTTTGTATGGCCTCGTGACAGTTTTCCCTTCTCAACAGAGTTACCACAGCAGAGTTACCATTCTAAATTGCCAATTGTTGAAATTGTTTGTCTCTAACACTGGTACTGGTACTGCATTGTTATTTATTCCAGCCATAGTTTACTAATTAGTCTAGAATTAAACAAAGAATGGACTCTGAGCAAAATCGAAAATACACTTACAGTTTGCAGCTATTTTTCACAAAACTTCACTTCTGCGCCCATAACCTCTTGAAGTTAATGGACAAATAATACACTGTACATGTGAAATGTGAAATAACCCGAAAAACTGATAACTAATAATTATTAATAATCATAGAATTTAATAATTGAGACGAGACGATTTCATCTGACATTACATTAGACTATAGGGCATTCCAACAAAAAAAAAACAAACAGGGCACGGGGCACACAATCCGATTGTGTCACATAATCTTAAAACTATTTTATAAAACCCAAATAAGTTAAATTTTTTGTGGTTTAACGTAAACTAAAGTATGGCTGACTACTTGATAAAATTGGAACGCGAAAAACCTGATGTAGCTGTGCGTTACAAACAAAAAATTGCGGCCATAAACAGTGTTGATCCGTTTGGTTTGGCTAATTCTGCTTTGAGTTCAAAACCTGAAGACTTCGCTCCAGTCACAAATATGGACATCGTTAGCTACTTGGTTCTAACTACTAGCTATAGGGCATTCCAACAAAAAAAAAACAGTCAGGGCACACAATTCGATTGTGTCACAATATCGAACACGCGTCATTTTAATATACATTCTTTAATAATAATAGTTGTTCAGTTGCTCTAAATTTTTGATACCTTTCTGAAATAGGTACATAATCTCGAACAAACTACAGCATATTTTAATTTACTGCCAGTTAAATCTTCACGTTTAATTGCATTTCACCAGCGTTGTCTTCTAATTTGTTTATTTTAACTTTTGTCAGGATGTTTTCGATTCAGTTCCGATGGTATTTTATAAAATTTAACGTTGTCGCGTTCTCTCCTACAACTACATTTCACTACACAACAAAATGCAGGCATTTTACCAATATTTTTACGCACTTTATCATTTGTATGCCCTGGCTAACTTTTGATAGACGCCATTTTTGACAGATCGTTGGAATGCCCTATTAGACAATCTATCAAAAATTAATGTCATTACAAAAACAGGCCACCCAAAAGTAGTCATCCTGAATGGGTCTATTTTACTTCGCTAATTCCTAATATCCAAAAACCTGGATAATTTCTTTAATGCTATCATTGATCTTCCAATATTCTACGATAAAATAAATAAAATTTTAACATTATTTGTAGTTCAGTGTCCAAGAGGTACTTTCCACAATTCTACATCAAACGTATGCCAAAGTTGCAATTTCGGAAATTACAGCGACACTTTAGGCCAAACGCGCTGTACTCAATGTCCGCCAAATCATTCCACCAGAAAAATGCATACGAAAAGTTTTAAGGAATGCAGAGGTTGGTTTTAGATATTGTATCAACAAAATATCAATAATTATTTGCAGAAATGTGTCCTCCTGGAACTCACGCTAGAAAGAAAAAAATAAAACTACCAAGACAACAAAAAAATGTATTAGTCGACAGACTCACATTGAGCCCTTACTGTAAATCGTGTCCAATAGGCACTTATCAGGCTGAACATGGACGAATCAAATGCACCCCTTGTCCTCCTGGTTACACTACCACCAAAACCCATTCAACAAACATCTCTTCTTGCATATCAACAGCTACAGAGATTTGCAAAACCCAAAATATATGCAACTATAACGGCAAATGCATTGCAATTAACCAATACGAATTTACTTGTGAATGTTTTGCTGGATTTTTTGGTCCTCGATGCGAAACCCAAATGTCGCCTTGTGATTCACAGCCATGCAATAACGGAGGAAGTTGTAATAGTTGGCAAGAGGACAGGTTCAATTGTAGTTGTCCTCAAAATTTTACAGGGAAATTTTGCGATTATGCAATAGGCAAGGAAACTGTTTGCGATTTCAAATGCGACAATGGCGGTACTTGTTTGGATGTTGGCGAAAATGAACCTATTTGTGTTTGTCCACCAGGATATTCTGGTGATAGATGTGAAGCTCAAACAAAATATTGTGAAAATTTATTGTGTGAAAACAATAGCACTTGTGTAGAACAAGGGAATTCGTTTAACTGTATTTGTGCTAAGGGTTTTATGGGACGTCGTTGCAATATTCTCCCTTGTGATTATAAGCCTTGTGAGGAAACTGCTATTTGTATTAATTTGGAGCTTGATAATACCACTAAAAGTGATTTTAAATGCGTGTGCCCTGAAGGCTATGCTGGTCCTAAATGCTTGGAAAAAATTGACTATTGTTTAGGATTTCAGTGTGAAAACAATGGTAAATGCATTAATGAAGAGACTAATTTTAGGTGTGATTGTGGTAAATTATATTATGGACAGTTTTGTGAGTTCAAAAGGGACCCTAATTACATGCTGAATTTTTCTCGGTATGATGTTAATGATTATGTTAGATTGAGAGGGTTTGATGGAAATCTTACAGAGGTAACTTGGACTATTTACGTTGTATTAAAATCAATTATTTGTTCTTAAAATTCAGATTACTGCTTGTCTCTGGTTGCAAACTTTAGACAACTTTAATTATGGTACTTTATTATCATATGCTACAAGATATATGGATAATGCATTCACTCTTACAGATTATACAGGGTATGTAACATTTTGTATTTTCAAAGAAACAAATGTAAATGTTGATTTCAGATTAGTTTTCTATATCAACAACAAATACATAGTAACAGATGTTTTTCTGAACGACGGCTATTGGCACCATATTTGTGCAACATGGAACAGCAACAAGGGTTCTTATCAAATATACGTGGACGGTACTTTAATTAAAAACGGTACCGATTTGGCAACCGATTCGACAATAGAAGGACACGGCTATTTGATTATCGGTCAAGAACAAGACGTTTTGGGTGGACGTTTCAGTCAATCTGAGTCGTTTGTGGGCAATATGGCTTACGTGGACTTGTGGTCCAAAGTATTGAGCCTTGAAGAGATTATGGCCCATCAAAACGATTGTAGCGATAGTGTTTTCGGAGATTTATATGCTTGGCCTGAGATGCAAGAGTATACCAATGGAAATATACAGGTGATATATTTGGAATTCTTTTTAATATACAGCCGATTTGTTCATGTTTCTTGTTCTATGAGATTTTATAAAATTCGAGGGTTGTTGTTTGGATAATATCATTTGTTTTTTAGCGTCTGCCATCAGCTTTTTGTCAAAAATGTGAAGATCCGAAACCATTATACAACGGTTTTATAGACATGGTGGATAATAAAGCTTTCTATTCGTGCTACGAAGGATTTGAATTGAGTAGCAAACAATTTTTAAAAGGCCGCAAATGCACTAAAACCTCCAAATGGGAAGGATTTTACGAGCCTTACTGTAAAAGTAATTTGATTAGTTTAAAAGCCCAGGCACTTTAGTTATTGATGATTTTCTTATAGGAATAAATTGTGGATATCCGGGTATAGTTAAAAACGGATACACTGTAATGGGTAATCAATATTTCTACAATGACAAAATTAGCTATCAGTGTTTTGATGGGTTCAATATGACTGGTAGTTTGACTATTATTTGCAAGGAAGATGGCAAATGGTATCCTAAAAAGCCAAAATGCATTGGTAATTATTAACACGATGTAATATTTGAAATTTTCATAAAATCCTAATCAAGGTGTGCAATGCACTTTACCCACAATACCTAATGGAAAAATCCAAACTATATCCGAAGCAATTGAAGAATTAGAAGATTCTACCAAAGTGGACTTGGATACGCAAATTAGCATAAGTTGTCATGAAAATGCCAGCTTAGTAGGAAACTTATCTGTGGCAACTTGCCTAGAAAATGGTAATTAACAGTAATTTATTCAGTAAATCATTTAAACCTATTTTTCATAGGTACATGGGATAATGCAAACTTCACTTGCAAATTAGCAGAATCTGATAAATTAAATTGTGAAATAAGCCGCGTACCTCAACCTCCAGAAAATTCTTATATTGATGAAGAGAGTCTTCAGGCTGCAAAAAACAGAACCACAGATTTTGTGATTTACAAATGTCAGCCAGGCCACAAATCAAACGGATCAAACACTACTACTTGTATAACAGATGGGTATTGGACTGAACCAAATTTAACTTGCAAGGGTATTTGAATATTATTTAAATAGTTGAATATCTTAATTATTTTTGTAGCCATTTTATGCCAACCACCACAAACAATGAAAATGATGTTACTCAAAAACAAGGTAGAAAATTATAAATTTGGTACTGTATTGAATTATCAATGTCAGGAAGGGTATAAGATGATTGGCAATAATGCTATAAGGTGTACTTTGTTAGGAAGATGGAGCAAAATGCAAGGAAAATGTATAAGTGAGTTTCAAATCAATGGGAATTTTAACATTTCCAAATAAATATATATTTTCTAGGACTATCGTGTGGTAAACCTCATGTATCATCAAATGCGCAAATTGTGGGCAATTCATACTTATTCGGTGATGATCTGACTGTTACCTGCCAGAATAAGGAAACGTATAAGTTAACCTGTGGAAAAGATGCTTTGTGGAATGGACAAATTGATGCAAATTGTTAATAATAAGTTTAATTCTCTTTACAAAACTAGTTTATTTTGCCTAACAAATTCTATATCACTATCAGAGTATTGAGGCTCTTGATGTTCTTCCCAAAAATCTTGGGATAAGAATTTCAATTTATCCATTGGAAATATGTGTATTGAAGTATCATTGAACACTTCAAATATTTTAAAATTATTAACAATATTCAGTTCTAAAACATAAGGACAAATTTTGTCAACATATTTGACTAATATGCCTAAATCATCTTCTATTATTTTACTAATACTATTACCTATAATTATGCATTTACTTAAATTCAACCCCCAATTAGACCAAAGCAAATTATTGGTTAATTGTTTGGGGCAATGAGGTAGGTAAAACAAGATTGTTTCAGTGTTTACTTTATGTTTAGCTTCAACGTTGAGGTTTTCAACTTTAATACCAAAATTGGTGAGGAGTTCTTTATCGTTTTCATTAAATATTGGATCAAAAGCAATAATTTTTGCTTCCAATAAGTCTTGGAGACAGAGTAGTAAAGCTAATTGATACCGGGGCACTGTTAAATCAGTTATTTGTCCTAGTCCCAAGGTGATTATTTTACCGACTTTTGGATTGTCCAAGTGCGTTAATGCTTCTTTTAATAATGCCGAGACTGATTGGAAAATGTCTGTTGAAAGGAGTTCTTGTTTTGCTTCTGATACTCTTCTGAAATGGGACAATTTTAGTAAATCTGTAATTAGTTTTTGTGTTAAATGGAAAATTACCTCGTATGTTTACTCAGATCAAATTGTTTGTTGCATTCTCTAACAGGTAGTAGCATCTCATTTTTTATTTTATTTTTTAATTTGCCTTTTCTTTTATGAACAACTTTTATAAATTCTTGTTGGTTGTTGGAGTTTAGTGACATTTTGATTTTTAAAACAAAAGTGAAAGTGAAGTGAAACTGCTGAAAAGTGTGGTTATGTCAGAAATGTCACAACAAAACAGTTTCCAGTCAAGGATAATACACACCTACAGATTGCTTATCGGTCTCGTTAATCGCAGCCATCATGGCAATAATGGTCACTATTTGCAACGTCATTACTAACCCTGCGTTCGGTAATTTGCTCAAAGAGCAGAGCGGCCTGAGCGGAGCCGTAACACGTGACTAGCGAGCGAACAGAGCAGTAGAACGCTGTATCCGAGTGCCCGAAATTTTCATAAACCAACGCAAATGAGCCTACAGCCTGCACAGAGTACACTTTTTTAATAAACGAACGGCAAATTCAAGCTCGGAGAACTCAGATCAAAATACCGAACGCACGAAGAATAGGAAATTTGTTAAAATCGATATTTTTATCTCGATACCGTTCTCGATTGTGACATATAAACAATCGAGAACATGTGCAAACAAAATAAAAACAAACGGCCATATTAACAATAGACTAAAGTCTGTTTTTTATTTAAAGATAATTCCCCAAGTCAAAAATTTAGTAGCTATGTTGGCAACACAAGCCTTTTCTACATAAGAAATTTGAAAGCATTGACAATTTTACATTGTATTGCCAACCTAATGTCAGTTTGACTTTTATCTTTAAAAAAAAAACGCACTTTACAATTATCGGTATCGAAGGCACATACATCGATATTTCGTATCGTTAATCGAATGTGTGTGTATCGACATTAAGCCCTCATCTCATCTAGCTTTTTGCTTTTTGTTTGTGTTTTTAAAAAATTCGTTGTGCAATTTGTGATTCAAATTAAATGCTGTTAATAATTAGTAAGAAAATCTATTTATATGTTATATCCAAAACCAATTCATATTAACAAAAATGGACAATCACAATAGAACAATCATCCACATAGATATAGATTGTTTCTATGCCCAAGTCGAAATGATTAAACGACCAAATCTACGAGATCAACCTCTATCAGTCCAGCAGAAAACGATAGTAGTTTCAAGTAATTATGTAGCGCGAGAATACGGTATAAAAAAATGCATGCTCATATCAGAGGCCAAGCAATTGTGTCCAGATTTACATTTAATCAAAGGCGAAGATTTGTATGACTACAGACAAATTTCCAACAAAATTTCAGAGACCTTACGAGAATACTCAAGTTTGGTTGAGAAATTAGGCTTAGACGAGAATTTCATTGATGTTACTGAAATGGTCAACAAAAAACTGCAAGGTCCATTCCAACCAGTTGGTCATATATTTGGAGAAGGAAATTCTATTTTGTGTGATTGCGGCTGCACCGAGCGATTGAACATTGGTTCTCAAATAGCTCAACAAATGAGAAAAGAGATATTTGATAAATTAGGACTGACAACCCGCGCAGGCATAGCTATCAATAAATTATTAGCAAAAATTGGGGGTTCCCTGAATAAACCAAACAAGCAAACTATTGTATACCCCAATAGTGCTTCAGAATTAATGCTTTGTTTGGGAGCTGTTAAAAATGTTCCATGGATTGGGCAAGTTTCAGCTGAATTATTAAACAAAAATAATATAAACACTGTTGAAGATTTGCAATCATGTGATATTAAATTGCTCGAAGGGATGTTTGATTTGGAAAAGGGAAGGTTTTTTAAAAATTTAAGTTTTGGTATTGATAATGCTGTAGTTAAACAAACTGGAAAACCTCAGAGTATTGGCTTAGAAGATGCCCTTAATCCTTCAACACCTTTTACACAAGAGAAAGATGTGGAACAAAAACTAAAAGAACTACTAAGTCGTTTGTTAGTTTTACTTAGAGAGGATGGAAGAATTGCGAAAACTTTAAAAGTTACTGTAAGAAGATTGGATAAAGATCATCCTGTTTACGGCGCAAGAGAGTCAAGACAATGCAACATCAATATAATACCTGAAGGCAATGAAGCACAAATAATAAATACAGCTATGAGTTTATTTAGAAAAATGGTTGACAAGAAATTCACAATAACTCTTGTAGGCTTGTCTTTTTCAAAATTTATTCAAAAACCTCACGAAAAAAATACTTTGGCTTCCTTTTTTTCTAAAGACAAAATCTGTTCATCTAATATTATGCCTTCACTTAAGAGAGGCAAATTTGTTGATGATGTACCAATCCAATGTCCTCCAAATGTTGATAAAGATGTCTTTAAAGAATTACCAGAAGATAAAAGCTCATCTTCATCTGATATTGAACCTTCACCTAAGAGAGGAAAATTTGTTGATGCTGCACCAATCCAATGTCCTCCAAATGTTGATAAAGATGTCTTCAAAGAATTACCAGAGGATTTACAAAAAGAACTGTGGGATGAATATAAGAGTAAACTTCCTAATTCTAGTCAAAATAGGTCTTCTGGCAAGACATCAAAAACAAATACTTTATTTAATTATCTGATAAGACAGCCAAAGTAATAACTTGTTTTTTTGGTAAATAAATTCAATTTTCTAAATGATCACTTTTTTTTTATTGAGCCATAGTTGATGTAAAATGGTGTACAACACAACAATTTAAACTGTTAGTGGACAAAAAAAATTGATTAATTATAGTAGGAATCGTTATAATTGTAAAAATTGGGTGCTCTGGACGTTTGAGTGTCATCATACTGTAAGGAACAGATACACTCATTGGGGTCTGGGCATGCTTCCTCATGTTCATGTCCATTGGAGTCATCATCATTTTGCTGTTTATTTTTATTACTGTTGGGCTTTTGCTGATAGTCTGGAAGAATTATGGTGTGTAAATACAAGAAAAATAATTGTAGATTGTTGCATATACCATTTTTCTCTTTCTCTTGGCCTTTTTCCATGGACACTTCTGTTTGGTTTTCACCAGAGTCATCGTCTTTGTCTTCTTCAGGTGTATTTGAATGATGCTTTTTGCCATGGCGACCACGCCTGCCACGCCTCCTGCTTCTCCTGCGACGGCGACCTTTTCTTCCTCTACGACGACGATGCCTGTCTTGTGGTTCTGAGGTATCTGAAGCAAAATTTTTAGTCTTTTCGGATATTTATTGTTTTTGTTTGCCTTACCATCAGCGTCGCTTATTCCAGATTCGCTTCCTTCTTCACTACCGTCATCTCCAGGAGATTCGCTATGTTTACGTCCGTGTCTTCCACGTCTACGGCGGCTACGTCTGCGACCTCCACGTCTACGACTTTTACCTCTACGTCTACCGCGACGTCCTCTACAGGATTTACAACCACCTACTGTATATGGTTCAAAATTATTAAACATTTATAAGTTTTCGAAAAGTATATTACCGAAGTCCAATTGTCTGAATCTTCTGAAGATAGCGTAATCTCTCTTGTCGAGTCCTAAAACGAATTTCCCGCTTCGGTGTTTTATCAAACCGACTTCCAGGCCGTGATCGATGGCTCTGCGTACTTGCAACGTGACATTGCGGTTTTTGCCTCTTTTAAGACCTCCGGCCACCTGAGAATAATTTAAATAATTCAAGCTCAAATTTGAAAATCATTTATATTAACTTACATGCTCAGTTATTTGTTTCTGCGACGAACCGTGCCTTTCTTTCAGATTCGCGATCGCTTCCAGCACGTCCGGAAGTAGTTTGGGTTCCTTGCTCGACTTCATTTCAACGTCTTGTAGATGGAGACGTTCCAGAGCTTCTCGCCAATTCGCTAAACTACGAATTTAACTTTAAAATTGGAAAATACGGGGTTTTTTCTTGCCATGAATTTCGAAATGCAGCCAAAGGACATTCGCTCAAATAAGTGATTTGATCGTAACTAAGACAAACTAGCTGTCTTTTGTTTCCATTATTTTTTTAGGCTACTATGGTATTTTTATGATGATTTTGTTTAATGAGTGATGTACCAGAGGCAGGTGAGAATTGGGGTTGTTCAGGATTTTCGCCATCATTACAGTTTATTTCTACTCTTTGGTGATCTATATAAATACTGGCTACTCTGAAAGAATCCAGATTGATTGTATCAGCTATATTTAGAATTTGTTCAATACTAAACGAGACCATAGTGGTTTTGCAGTTTTGCAACCAACAGACAAATTTATTTATTAATACAGTATCAACAGCAAATGCCAATCTGCAGATACCTATCTTAAAGACTAGTAAACAATAAACACTTCTTAATAAATATATGAGGTTTCCTCGAAGGTTTCACAAGCAAAAACCTTTTCGAAAAACCAAAATTATACAACATAACAATAAAACAAATTTATTGTCTACTCCTGAACCTGATGTGAAAAAAAAGTTTCTCACTTATAATTTTAGTAAACTGCCCTAAAGTAATAGTGTTATTATATCCATGTCACTTGCATAAATGTTAAAACAATTGCCCATACGGTAAACTGGAGAATTTTTATACAAATTTGTCCTAGGAAAGTCCAAATAAAACATATTTATCTCTCTGTCGGGTGTAGACGCGATTTATTGAAAATGGGAGCTGAGATAAAATGTGAGGACTATTTATCGAGGGAGAGTCTATTAAACAAATTCAAAACTCTATTATGGTTATATCCCCGAGTAGAGTAGAAACCAAACCTTTTCAAAAAAAACATACTTTAGGAACTTTCTCTGGACTCGTTCAATAGATTTGCACCATACATCATATAGGGGTGATCAGATTATGCTCCCATATATATTCTCATCATGACAATACGAGACCGTCAAATGGCCTAACACATAAGGTACCATCGTCACCAAAAGTAACTGGGACAGCATCACATTAGCTCTTGTCCTATTATATTAATTTTGTTGTCAAATATTTATCAAACTATGCATTAAATGCATTGAAATGAATGACAGTAGAATTAGTCCAGGAGATTATTATGCATTATTTGTGTCCCAGATACTTTTGGTGACGATGGTACATCTCAATGCATCTACATTAAAATGCTTGGCAGATCTGATAATAAAGCCCAATATTCTATGTGCTTCAATAATTTTTGTTACAATATGATCAGTGAAGCCCATGTAATTATCAAACAGTACTCCTAAATCCTTTTGAACCGAGTTGGTTACTAATGCCTCTAAATTAATAGTTAATTCCTTATTAATAACATTTTTATTCAAAGAAAAAGACATAGAGGAACACTTTTTAGTGTTAGGCTTAAAACTATTTGTATTACACCACTCAACAACCCTATTAAAATTTAAAATCTGCCTGCAAACAGTCACAATCATCCAAAAACAACTTGAAGTCATCAGCAAACAATAATGACTATTAATGACTTTCAACTTTTCACTACCTAACGTACCGTCATTTGGGGTGAAGTCGGACGATTTTTGCAGTTTTTCGTTAATAAAATCTACAATTAAAAGAAAAAAAATCCGAAAAAAATTATTAAGAATCTTCCATGTCTCCTTTATCAAATTACTTACTAAAAGTAATGACATTTGTATCCCCACCCCTTTTTTTTTAGGTAAGTTGTGTGTCCGCCATCACCCCTATGTGTGGGGTAAAGCGGACGACCATTAATTAAGCATACAAAGTGTCTTAGCCCCTAGTACGGGGTGCAGTCGGACAGAAAAAAAAAAAAATAAATATTTATAGCAAAATATTATAAATTTTAGGTAAAAAGAAATTGCAAACATGCAAACGCCATGATTCTTCGTTTTTATTCCCCTTTTCTTGTCATGTAAGGTGGATTTGGGAACCCCATAATACCTACTCAGCAGCTTGTCTATACTTTTTCTGCCTCGTCTAATATCTTCAAGTGCTCTAGCGACGCGACGTTTTCTTCATTGTAATTTTTGAAATTAATGCCGCTTTTCTTCTTATAGCACCTAACCATAGTGTCCGCCTTCCCCCCTATAAAATGACTTTTTTACTAAAACACCATTATTTAACAAAAAAAAAATTTTTTTTTCACCAAATTGCCATGGGTTTACTAATGATGGAGCACATAACAAATAATAGCTCATTTGAAATACATAGTTTCAATATTCCCTAGTGCCCAACAGTTTCTTTTTTGGTTTTCAAATTCTAAGAAAACAATAAAATTTATAAAATTCTAACCACGTGCTCTACGGCGAATTTTTCCAGCAAAAATGCACCACTCTCAACGACAGTCGAGCTAAACTAAGCGAAATATGCTGATCGGTGGATTTTTTGGGTGTCTCGATACCCGATATCGTAAAAAACGCCGGCCAATACCGGTCTGTCCGAGTTCACCCCGACAGTCCGACTTCACCCTAATGACGGTACCCCATTGATCGCTATGACAAATAAAAGAGGTCCCAAATTTGACCCTCGAGGAACCCTAGAAGTACTATTAAATACATCAGAACGTCCCCCCTTGATTTCCACATATTGTTGTCTTCCAGATAAATAAGAAGTTATCCAGATTAATCAAATTATTCCATACATTGCTCTCTTGCAGAGACTTAACTATGACACTAGTTTTTATTTTGTCAAAAACCTTCTCCAAGTCAGTAAAGATGAAATCCACTTGCGTTTTATTATTAAAAGATTCATGCAAATACTGGGAAAACGATACTAGGTTCGTCAAATCGTCAATGTAGACTTTTTAGGAAAAAATCCTCACTAAGATCAAATTTAACCTGTTCATAAATCCTGTTGAAAAGGAAAAAGGAGTATTCCAAAAACCTTGGAAACTGGAACGTTCCACTTTTAAATGTCGGGATAACCTTGCCTATTCGCCACACCTTGGGGTAAGAAGAAGTCTTAAAACTAAGATTAAAAATATACTATTGAACCAATGCCTCTCAAATCCCAAATCAGAGTTTTCAGGCGATTCTCTGAATGGTTCTTATTTCTTATGTCTGTTGATTATCCTTTATTCTGGCAAAATTGAGATATTTATGTTATCTCCCTTCAGGTTGTCCATAAGGTGGTGTCATTTTGCCTCTCCTGTGGACACTATAGTGGTAGATAGCATCCTTACCAGACTAAGCAATGCCGGAATGACTGTCCTAGGCTACGCAGAGGCAAACGTGAAGGCTAGTAACAGACCGAATGCAAAGTGCCTTGAATTTAATCAAAAACTGGAGCGAGGAAGGACTTTCCATAAATCCCAGCCAAACAACCTTAGTTCTGTTCACGAAAAGAAGGAAACTGGATCGACGATACCCCACTCTAAAGGGCACTCAATTCTCTCGGATGAAGTTAAGTATTCAGGGAACACCCTGGGCTGCAAATTTACCTGGAACAACCATCTGAACAAGACACTATCACGAGCTACCGCGGCCATTTGGACATGTCACGAACTCGTGGGAAAAACATGGGGATAAGACCAAAAATGGTATTTGATTTACCAATGGATTTACCAAACGGTGTCAACAACTAGGCTATTAACTATGTTATTCAATAAGGAACTTGAACGTTAGTGGAATTTTATTGTTTGATATGTTCAACTGGTCCCTAGGGATAAAAAAAACCGAGGAGTACTACTAGTCTAGGAGGCAGTGACGATTTTCGGTACTTATTTTCCCAGTCAGACAACATGGATAGAATTGTAGGGTTAGTAATTCCGTAATTCCAAGCAAAATACATATATTTTTAGGGGGAGTTTTCCGATGGGTTGAGGCGCAAAATGCGTTAAAGCTTACGAATGCACGGCCCTTTTTTTTCTCAGTGATAAAAATAGGTCTACTAATGAGAAGTATACTGAAGTTACATAAAAAAATAGTCCGGCTAATCTGTGAGTATGGATAATATGTCTGGCAAGTGAAAAATTGAAGGCCCGAAAATTTTCAGCCAGACCCACTTCCACCATCTGAGATAAGCCAAATTGCTATTTTCATATACTTTATGTTCTATTGTAGTAAATGTGAAATATTTATGCCTGGGAAAATAAGCGTACTTGTATTTTTCATTGATCTTGTGAACCCATCCGAAAATTTTAGCCAGACTCAAAAATTCTTGTTTTGTATCACCAGGAGAACAAACTATTTGATAGCCACCAACTGAGAAAATAAGTGCTAAAAAATTTCACTGCCTCCTGGACTATACCAGATATAGGGGTACATTATGCATTTATAAGACCGGGGTGAGTTTGTCAGCTTTTTAGGTTTTCGGCTATAACTCAAAAACTATGCAAGGTTTTTTTGTAGAGAATAAAATTTCCTATCGAAAAGCTCGGATTTTTCATAACCACTTCATCAGATAGGTAAGTACCTACAACATATCAAAAAATCAGAAATACCTCATTTCATGCAAAGCAACACCCCTACCACAAGCGGACAACACATTACTGTGGATTCAGTCTGGAAAAAACTGAACCAAACTTAAATACTTCAGAATATCTTAGTTACTTTATAGTATCTAAGATACTGTATCTTAAACACGTACTCTTTATTTTTTGGCAAAAGTATCTAGTATCTTATTTATCTGTAATCTGTTATCTGTAACTTGTATATTTTAAAAAAGTATCCTAGATACCAAAACCTCTCAGATACTTTAGATACCGAAAAGTACCTACCTAAGAAAAAGTATCTTGGATACCGAAAAGTTACTTAGATACTGAGAAAAGTATCTTAGTTAACGGAAAGTATTAATTAAAGTTACCCACAGTTCTGTGGGTCGTTTACCCAATCCCGATCCAACAAGATAAAATTGGTTCAAAAAGTAGGTAATAGGTAGATGGTAGCGGGATTCCTGCGAGTAATATTAAGATATGTTTGGCCAGTGAAGCTGAAGTACTGTATGTACAGGGTGGCCCGTTTATTTTGTCCTAAGTATCTCGGTATATGGAAATCTAGATATTTTATGACAAAAAGTTACACAATTGTAGGGTTCGAATAATTAATTTGTTTTTTTGTATCTTTCCTTTTGGTCAAAGTTCGACTTTAATATATTTATTTTTAACGTCTAACGTTCCTACATAATCCAAAAATTGGTCGTTCCCCGAGGATAACATAAACATAAACTTTATTAACGGACAAGCCATTTACAGTAAATAACATAATACAAAAATATATGACGTTATAACATAACGAAAAACACAAGAACTTAAAATTTAACATTTACGGTACATATAAATACACTGACATTTAGCGCTGCAGACTATTTAACAAATGTTTACAAGTTTTCAGAGACATGCCAAAAAAATCAAAATTGTTGGGTAGCTGATTTGTCTAAAACTTTTTGTCATAAAATATCTAGATTCCCATATACCGAGATAGGACAAAATAATTGAACCTGAAACCTGTGGACCAAATAAACAGCTTAATCGGTTTTTTCGCCCACTATTTGGAAAAAATAATGAAGTATCTTATTAGGTATCTTAAAAAGTAACTTATAAGATACGTATAAATTAAAAATATTGCTCCAAAAAAATTATCCATCAATGGATAAAGGAGCCATTGATAATCAAAAATTTTTAACTATTGTCGGCTCTTGATTCTCTGGAACACTTTCCTGGAGCCAATCAAGAGCCGGTAATAGTCAAAACTTGAACTTTTATCACCTCTGGATTCGCAAGAGATTTTTTCTAATGGCATTCAATGTTCAAGAGCCGATAACAATCAAAATTTCGAATGATCATTAGCAGGTCTTAAGTTGATATTCATCAAAATTTCTTCTTCCGCAGCTTCTAATTGGCTCAAGAAAAATTATCCAATGGATCAACAGCCATAGATATTCAAAATTTGAACTATTACCGGCTTTTGATTCTCTGGAAAACTTTCCTGGAGCCAATCAAGAGTCGGTAATAGTCAAAACCTTCATCAACTCTGGATTCCCTAGAGAATTGTAGTAAGGGCAGTCAAGACTCAAGAGTGAATAATAATCAGAATTTCGATTAGTCATTAGCAGCTCTTGAGTTGATGAAAATCAAAATTTCTTCTTCCGCAGCTTCTGATTGGCTCTTTTAGTTGAACAATTTGCCAATAATTAAACCCAGAGTGCCTAATTGTGGTATTTTCCTAGTGGCCCAGTGCATCCAAGCGCCGCCACTGCTTTGGGAGCCATCAAGTGCAATTCGCAGCTAGTTTGGTAAGGTAAAAATATCCTTAAGCAACTGGCTAGAAGAAACAAAGTAACCTTGATGTGGATGCCAGGACACCAGGGCATAGAGAGCAACGAGGAGACAAACCGTCTCGCAAAGCAAGGCACTTTAACACCTTTTCAAGGCCCACAGCCTTTTTGTGGACTAATGAAAAGCCACGACTCCGAAGAAATCAACAGGTGGAAAAAGGATCGAATGCTTACTCATTGGAGATCCATTCCGGGTTTGAGACAGGTGGAAAGTTTCATATTCATCTCAGCAAAGAGATCTGAACAACTTCTTGACATGAACAGAAAAGACATTAGAACAGTCGTGGGTCTGCTCACTGAGCATTGTCTGATGAAATATCTCCTAAAAACAATACGCTAGTGTCGCTAGTAAATCAAGAGGTTTGCATCAATTTTCAACCCAGAAAGCTGGCCTCCTTTGGGAAAAGCCTACAAATCTTGGACACCAACTAGAAGCAGACCCCCGCACAAAATATCTAGAAAGGTAGTTAGCAGTGCTTGAGCGGCTGGAACAAGCTGTAACGACTCCAAATTTAATCTAAATCTGCCTTCAAATCAGACAGACCTATTAATACACATTTTTTTATGAACAAATTGTCTTTATTTGATACCACATGGATACAATTGCACCATTTAACGTCCAAGCTGTAGCTAAAACAGTTACAATTAAAGCTACAAGTCTGGATTCGTATTGAGTATAATAAACAAACCAATGTGTATAATATGCGAAACATAAACTTATAATGCCTATGATGTAGCCTAATACGCCTAAAACATTATGCAGACCTTTGTACCATATAGGACGTATTATTGGGACATAGGATTGCAATTCTCGGTAGTATTTTATCATCAAACCCACTGGGATTGCGACTATTATTAAAATCATCGATACCAAACCTAAAAACTCATCTCTAATTGAATTTTTTAGTTTTTAAAAAAGGTTGTTTTTATTACCAGTGATTCCATGTACAGTATTCAAATGAAATCCAGGAGAAATATAATGGAACACCAAACCATTTCCTGCAATAATCATAACAGTCCCAATTGAAACTATTATACCGTGTATTGTATATTTAGCTGTACGGGTCATTTGTCTAGACCAAAGTTCGTCTCCTGTAAATAGCATCAGTGATTCTGCCATAAGGGGAAGATACTATGGAAAAATAAATGCTTGCAATTACGACTAAAAAAGGATATTACTTTTTGCTTGCTTAATGCTTACCCCAAAAGTACACAAAATCACATGCCAAGAAAACCAATAATTGTAATTAACTATGGCTATCCAACATGAATACACAACAACGCCAGCTATTCCGAATCTAGTTAGGTAATTTAAACTAAATCTTGTAACATTTTCTGCAAACTTGCCTAAATCTGATCTAGAATTAGAGTTTGATATTTCAGATTCTAAATCCATTGTTGGCAGACAATAATAGCTGTTTAATCTTGAGTGTGTGAATTATATCTGGCTTGTCGTTCATATATAAATTGGTATTTCCCAACTTGCTTATAAATTTATTATTTTTATACGGGAATTACCCGTCTACATTTGAGGTTTTTTATCGGTCAAGTAAATGCATTTGTAATGTGGAAAACTTATATGTTTATTTGAATAGTAAAAGCTACTACACATAATACTCTTTTTTGCGTTTTACAATAAAATACAACTGACGAATTTATACATAAATATTCTTATCACTGCGTATTTTTAATTTAAATATTAAAAACTATCCATTCCGGGTCGATATATCTTAAGAAGTTAGATCTAATTTTGGCAGTGCTCGATTTAAACATTATTTTCTAGGGGGTTTAAGTTAAGGATAGAAGCCCTTATGTTAAAAAAAAAACAATCACAGATAACTACATTCTTCAGCATTTTAATTTTGATAATATATTTGCAATGCAAAAGAGCAGATTCAAGTCCTGGTGAATTTTTCTAGCAACATTTGCACCATAAGCGTTTATGTTATCTCTAGAAAAATTATCTTGATCTCCGAGTTTCAAATTTACAAGATTTGCCAAAATCAATGAATCAATTGTGCATCCTTAAAATAAAATCATTCATTCCAACACTCGTAAACATCCCTGCCATTCTTTTTAAATAATAATTCTCCTATTAAGTAAATTGTTCAAAAGTCATGCTTTTTGCCTCCATTATAACTTATCAAATTAAAATTGGTTAGTAAATCTATCAGTTCCTTCTTCTGGGTTTTAGCTAGCCCAGCTCTAGTTTGTCCAAAGCCCATTGATTCAAAAACTATTCTAATAAATCCTGTTGGGATCGTTTGCAAGAATCGCAACAGTTTTTCGTGTAAAACGGGTAACTGCAAAGTCGTGCTTGTACTGCCAAGCGACAGTTTGGGATTCTATCAGTACAAGAGCCTACAAAACAGTTTTCATTAAACTAAAAGAAAAATACTAAGTACCTAAGTGATTCTTACGGTCAATTGGTTCGTCTTGCGCCAACTTATAACTATAGCTGTCTCTGTAGGTTTCACAAGCACAAGTCCTCTTTGACACTGGCACTTTATCCTCGGGACATCGATTCGAGGGTCGTTTATCAATATCCAAACATTTAACTTCTCTTCTTTGTATTCCTGATGGACAATCTCCTTCGCACTGCCCCCAGTCTCCTGTAAACCATTGCGAAGGACATAAACCTAAAATAATAATATGTTCTAGCAATTGAAGTCACTAGAGTAACTTTTACCAAGACAAGATTGTTCGTCGTAAGGTTTAGTATTCGCAGGACAAACCATTTCGTTGGACACATGCGGTACACCTCTTATCTTAGCGACGCATAGGATTTCTCTTTTTTGTTTTGCAGGACCATCGCAACTGTCTGAACATTCGCCCCAAGGACCTAAAAGTGATTGCAGTAGAAAAAAATCTAGTGATAGATTGTTTTATACCTGCGAACCATTGAGCATCGCAATGCTTTTCACTTGAACAGGCACGTGAAAGTTCAGGCTTTGACTCCGGAGTACAATAATCATGCTCGCAAACGGCAAATCGAGTTTGATTTCCTGTTCCTAAGAAAAAAAAGCTTATAAATAACTACGTGGTTCTGTTGGTCAGAAATCACTTGGTTATGGTCAGAGAAGTTTCGTAGAAATTGTCTTCAATATAATTACAACAAGGACCAAGAAGATGTAAAGATTCAAGATTCAACTAAGTGAAGTAAGTCAACATTTGCAAGATATATATTGTTATGAAATGTACAAAAAATTAAACTGGTCAAAGATATGAAGTTCCTAGTGATACAAGATTACTATCTAACATTTCTAACTGTAGTCAAAGATATGAAGCTCCTAACTCATCATGGATCTGACGGCAATCTATATAGAATGATGAAGCTGAGTCAGATCAATGTACAAATTAATCTTCACATATGTTTGTAGAAGTGTAAGAGTTCTCAAATGTCCCTCACACCTGTAAGAATAATCATTTTGGATGTGGTGCAAGTTTCTTCAATTTTACCTACAAAGGATAAAAAGTATGTTCTTACCGCATTGTTCTGAACAGTGAGACCACTCGGTAACCAACCACAAAGTAGAACCGCTATGACTAGAACGCAAAGCAACTGTCGGTTTCACTTGTGACGGTACGGTAACATCGATTTGGTCACAAGAAGCTTGACTACAATACTCAGCATGAGCCGGCCTGTTTTCCGCGTGACACTGACCAGACGGACATATGACCGAACGTGTCCTGTGACCTGTTCCACACGTAACTGAACACTAGAAGCATAATAATTATCAATATAGGATGTTTGGATATGAATACATACCTTAGACCAACTCCCAATGATCCAATCTTTTTTGGGTTGCTCAACTGGTTGTGGTAGCTCATTATCAGTCAACCCCTTGTAGAAGTCGCACTCTTTTTCTTGGCAAGCTCTAGTTTGAGCACTTGGTTTATCGTGACCACATTGCGCCTCACTGACCACTATTGGTTTTCCTATTCATAAAAAAACTAGTTTCCTATTCTCAATCCTCATATAATCACTTACCATTTAGGTCTCGTTTGCATTGAGGAATAAATTGCTGGATTCCTTCTCCGCAAGATACCGAACATTGTCCCCAGGCACCATCCCAAAAAGCTGCGCTGCAAGGTTGGACATTACAAGGAATTGGCGTTAGGGCAGGTGGATCTAAATGGGCGCATCGTTTTTCGTTTATGGGTATTTGATGGGTGGCGCTTATGGTTCTGTAGCACACTCGTATATACGTTTGGGTTCCTGTTTTAATTACCAAATAAATTATTGAGCTATAAGATTTTTGTTAGTTTGGGTTACCTCCACCGCAGGTTTTGGTGCAAGGAGTTAGTCCAGTTACTTTCCAATGAAAGTTTCTTCGTCTCAGGCGGGTTCTTCTCGGGCCTGGATATATTACTGAAGGTTTTGGATCGTCTCTTTGATTGCTGAATGTTGAATTTTGATGATCTAGTTTTCTTGGTGTAACAGTATCAGACGGGCGTCTAATTAGTGGTGGAGCTATTATCGGTATATCATCCACTGGTAAAGAATATTGGTACTTTATTCCAGGATTGGCTTGGTAATTTACAATCTAAAAATGCACAAGTGAATAATGAGTTTAGTTTGAAACTATTTTACTTGCCATTATGTCGAGAGGATTTGATAGAGGCCCGGCAGCCGAAATAGTTTCCAAAGATGTAGTATCCTGTCTTATGTAAATGAATTTGGTTCCAATAGCTTCATACGTTTTACTTGCTCCGAATTTCCAATCTCCATTCAAGATGTAGGTGTCATTATTGTTGCTGATTTTGAGAGCTGAAAAAGGAGTGAATGTTTTAAAATAAGGATTTGTGTCCTTGGTCCAGGCTTGCAATTAAAAAAAACTTATTTACATCATACGAAGCAAAAACAAATTACAAATGCAGAATAATAATTATTATTGTAGTGACACCAGGGGGTCCACTTTGAATAGAGCAATTTAGATAATAATGTGGATTTTGCATTTGTAATTGCCGGCTATCGATACTTATACAAAGAGCCTATTTAATAAAGGAAATTACCTTATACCGAGAAGGCTTGCATTTTTTTTAAATTGAGTGGAAATAATCAATGTTAGTCAATAGAAGCGATCTTGGTATGGATTTTTGCACTGTTTTTGTTTATAAACTAAATTGACGTTATCAAACTACATATAATTAATGCGTTGTATTAATTAGCACAATATGTTAACTGGTTTATTGATTTGATAAAGCAGCATTTTATCGGCATATTGCAAAGGAGTCTGAGTTTTGATAGTTACCGACTCAAAGGCGTATTTCGAAATCAAAACTAATTTTTCTTCTTCCTTTGTTTGGCATTGGTAAAAATGGATCGTCTTGATTAGGTACTTTGAAGTATTGGAAATTATTATCAAGTGCAAATTATGAATCCCAGTAGGTATTATTTTATATTGAAGAAATCTAAGAAAACAGAGGAGAGGAGAATTTAGAAGATGATTTTCTGAAGAAGTTCAAATTAGGGAAGTCCAAGCAAATATGAAGATGTACGAGAAATTTTAAAGAGATCTCAGGAAGTATCGAGCAGTATTCAGAACATCCGAGGAAGTAGACGAAATTTTGAAAAATGTCCGAGCAAGTACAGCGAAAATGTATTAAATAATAGAGGAAGCTTCTAGGCCAAATTGTAGGGGTAGATTATTCAAGTCTGAGGAAGTTATGGAAAGCTTAGGGAAATCTCAGGAAGTACTAGAATATATAGAAGAAATCCAAAGAAATCAGAGGAAAGTCAAAGGAAATCCAGCTCAGGAAAAATTCATAACAAACAAAACTTCTACGCAAAATTAAGAAGGTGATTTCCTGAAGAAGTTCAAATTAGGGAAGTCTAAGGAAATATTGAGTAAGTACGAGGAATCTTAAAGAAACCTGAGGAAGTACGAGGAATCCCAAAGAAATCTGAGGAAGTATCGAGCAACAGTTTCGCAATTGAGAAGCTTCAAAATTGAAATTATCGAATATTGCAAATTTCCCAAAAATAACACTGAGACAGTTTTTGCCTCACAGCTTTGTTAATTTTTAACCAACGTCAACGTAATTAAGCTCTAATTAAAGCCAATTGAATTATCGACAAACCTGAGAATTACGATTTCAATTTGGTTCCGATAGTTTCGCAGTTGAAAAACTTCAAAATTGAAATTATCGAACATTGAAAAATTCCCAAAAATATCACTAAGACAGTTTTTGCCTCACAGCTTCGTTAATTTTCAACCAATTTCAATGTAAGCTCTAATCAAAGCCAATTAAATTCTCTACAAACACTGTGACAGTTTTTGCCTCGCAGCTTCGTTAATTTCTAACGAATTTCAATGTGATTTAGTTCTTATTGAAGCCAATAAAATTCTCTACGAACCTGTTGAAATCACGATTTTAATTTGGTTCCAAGAGTTTCGCAGTTAAGAAGTTTCAAAATTGAAATTATCGACCATTGAAAATTTTCCAAAAAAGACTGAGACAGTTTTTGCCTCACATGCTTTGTTAATTTTTAACCAATTTCAATGTAATTAAACTCTAATTAAAGCCAATTGAGTTCTCTACAAACGTGTTGATTACGATTCAAATTTGGTTCCTGTTAGATATTGAACTATAGCAGAGAACTATAGTTAGGTCAGATCAATATGAACTTGTAGTCATATTCATGTCATATTAAAAAGTTCTTTCATAGAACTCAAGAGTGTTTCATTGCAAAGACACAACATAATGGCGTCGAGATGTAAAGTTCAAAGTCGTACTGAGTGTAATTTTCTGTTAGTGTCACTAAAAAAGTCTGAAAAGTCCTCGTTTGTTGTTGAAGTCTCAACTGCACAAACCCGAAAGTCTAGTGAAAAAAAAAAAAAAAAAACGGTTAAAAATGGCTTGGATTGGTGGTATTGAGCCATTTAGGCCTAGAGACTGGGATGTTACTTCATATATGGAGAGAATGGATCAGTTATTTGAATGTAACTGAGAAGAAGGAAGAAAAAGTATGCATGTTTTTAACCCTTGTTGGAGGAGAGGCTCATGAAGTGTTAAAAGATTTGTTGTCCCCAGAACTGCCAAAGGATACGTCATATGAACAGTTAAAGGAAGGTTTGGAAAAACACTACAGTCCAAAGCGATTGGTCATTGCAGAGAGGTACCAGTTTTATAGTGCTAGGCAAGAGAGCCACGAAGATATTTCAATGTTCACATTAAAATTGCGAAATTTAGTAAAAAACTGTGAGTTTTGGCAGTTTTTGAATGAGGCACTACGAGATAAGTTTGTATGTGGCATAAAGTCGGAATCAATTAGGCGAAAACTATTAACTAAAGAGCAGTTAGATTTTGGAAAAGCAGTAAAAATAGCTTCTAGCATGGTATTGGCAGAAGGTCAAGCAAAAACATTAGGGTCTGAATCAGTAAATAAGTTGCACATTGGAAAAAACAAATTTCAGTCCAGCTACTCTGGTGAAAGGTTCCAGTCGAGTATGCCATCCACAAGTCTAGTGACTTGGACAGAACAATTACAAAAATAATTGTAAAAGATGTCTGAAAGTCCATACCGATCCGTTAAAGTGTCCAGCTGTCAATTGGAAATGTTTTGGATGCAATAAAGTTGGGCATACAGCCAAATCACCATTATGTCATAAAAATAAAGTGCATTATACCGAAGAAGAAAAACGAGTGGGAAGTCAAGACGAAAAATATTTCGAAGAAGAGTTGTATGAAAATGAGGAAGTTTTTAGATCTGTCACAACAGGTGATCATTGTCCAGCTATGTTAAGTATTCTGATAAATAGTAAACCAGTAAGTATGGAGATAGATACAGGTGCAAATAGTATCATTATGCCGTATAACATGTTTCGATCAATGTTCTCAAATGTTACACTAACCAAACCGAACTGTAAAGTAAATACTTTGTTTGGACAAGCCATGAACTCTGTATATAAGGTTATGGTTAGTGTAAATTTTGAGAACTCAAGCCATCACTTGGAAATAAAAGTAGTAGATTATGATATTTTTTGTTGGGTAGATATTGGTTAGATGTCTTAGTTCCAAATTGGAAACATAAAATCCTAGGTAAAGATGAACTACAAATTTTAGTTAACAAAGTTGTAAGTCAGCAGCCTATCTTAGACATAGTAAATATAAGTTAAAGCACGATTATTCAAGTATTTTAGCTAAACCAGGTTGCATCAAAGAGTATGTAGTTAACATGGCAGTAAAAGAAAATTCTCTTCCAAAATTTTGTAAACCTTACAGGATTTCATACGCATTAAAAGACAACGTTAAAGCTGAAATAAATAAATTGATCGAAAAGGGTATTCTTGAACCTGTCACCACAGCCGAAAGGGCGAGTCCAATTGTTGTAGTACCAAAACCAGATGGTGAGATACGTATTTGTGGTGATTTTTAGTCAACAATTAACCCTTGCATTGAGAATCAGTATTATCCACTGCCAATTACTGATGAAATATTTGGATCACTGTCTGGAAGGTAAGATCTTTCCAGTTAGAACAGAGTTTTAGATAGATTTAAACAATATACGTAGGAATAAATTGGCAAAAAGCAAAGTCTTTGTTGAGAAAGTTGAATTTTTAGGACATATCTTATCAGCAAAACCCGAGAATAAGCAACAGTTACAATCATACTTGGGGTTGGTACATTAACATTCCAAATTTATTCCTATGTTAGCAGATGAAGTAGCTCCCTTGTACAAACTTTTGAGAAAAGATATTTCCTGGCTCTTAAATGAAACAGCTGATAAATGTTTCGAAGAGAGTAAGTTGTTTTTAACTTCTTCAAATATTTTAATGATTTTCAATCCTAATTTGCCTATAATTCTGTCGTGCGATGCATCAAATGATGGTGTGGGTGCGGTTTAAGCACATTTTTTGCCTGATGGGAGTAAAAGACCTGTTATGCATCATCTGCAACTTTATTTATGACCCGGTTGTACAAACGATGTTTAAGCCCCAGTTCAGTAAAGCCGGGTTGAGCTATTGAACCTGGTTCAGATTCAGAATACAGGATCCGTTGTACAAGAAAAAATTGAACCTTGTTCAGCTAAATGGCGGTAAAGTTTGGCATCTATTATGTAATTTGTCTATCGTCAGATCAGAACATGATCAGAATGACAAAAAAAAAACAAGAAGTATGTGCAAACTAACCTGAAAAAAAAAGAAGCCCATTTATTTACCTCATGTTACATTTAGAAATCTGACCAGCTCGTGAAAGCTGTTGAAAACTCTTGAAACTACCCTGAATAACCAATACCTTCGATGGTTCTAAACAGTATCAGAATGTAGCAGATACTCGCAGTTTTAAAATGTAATTTTCAATCTCACAGAAAAACAATAGACTATCCCGAGCCAGGAATGAAAGATGGAAGAAGAGGTTGCTCGAGTGGATACCAAGAACCGAGAAAAAAAGTAGATGAAGAAATCCTATGTGGACCGATGATATAAAAAGAATTACAAATAACCACGCAAATAACTGGATGCAGAGTGATCAGGATAGAGCACTTTCATAAGTAAAATTAATTAATTCAAGTCAAGATTATTTCTTTTACCACCAATACCATATTTGAGGACATGGATGAGGAGAAAAAATGGGGTAAAGGAAGCACAACATTTCCCAAGCAAAAAGGCGATTTTGATGGGCGTTGAAGCTTTCAAAGTAGTTTTAGAATATAAGCAAACTTATTGTTAAAATCCCAAAACTTCCAGATTTCGACAATTTTCAATCAATCAATCTATCACTCTTTCCCAATTTTCACTTTCTCTCTAGTGAGCTAGGTTATTTGATTCCTTGTTGTACAAGGACAAGGCGCACAGCATCTAGCCTCTAGGACCTTCAAAAAATTATCACCTAGTACATACTTCTTGAAAATGTATTTTATTGAAGACAAAGAATCAGCATAACATGCAATCTATTTTGTCTCGAATTTAGGGTTGTGTTATCGAAAAGCTAGGCTTAAACCTCAATTTTTCACGGTTCAGCGGAACCAGGCTTAGCTCATGCATTTGAACCAGGTTTAGGGATAAACCATACTTTTATAACCACACTTAAACCAGGTTTGTACAACCGGGTCTAAATCTGAACAGAATTATAGCCTGCTCGATAAGGAGGCCTTATTGATCATTTTTGGAGTTTAGAAGTTTCACAATCATTTATTTGGTAGACATTCTACATTATTTAATGACCATAAGCAGAGCATTTTGTCACCAAGTAAGAATTTACCAGCTGTTAGATCGCAGCGTTGGGTTGTCGCTCTATTAATTTACGATTACACTACAAAGTACCGCAAGGGTGAAAATATTCAAAATGCTGATGTTTTTTGTAGGCTTTCATTGAAAGAATCGAAAAGTGGTGAAACGGTTCACTATTTTTCTGTGATTCATACCACACCATTGTCCTCTAAAGATATTGCAAGGGATTCAAGGGAATCTATGAAAGTTTTGAGACAAGTGATAAATTTTGTGATGCATGGTTGGGTTGGCCAAATTTCAGTCAAATTGATGCATCACTTTCACTATAGGTACTACAAGATCCATGGAGATTTGATTCTCGATATGAATTGTTTAATTTTTAATAATCGCGTCATTATTCCAACTCATTTAAGAGTACATGTTTTGCACTTACTGCACGAACAGCATCCAGGAATTGTCAAAATGAAAATGTTGGCACGCCAGTATGGGACATGGTGCCCTAGGAAATGGCAATGGTTGCATAGATCTTGCTACGAAAAATGATGTAAAACTTCTTGTTTTGATTGACGCAAGTAGTAAGTGGGTGGATGCATGGATTTTAAAAACAACTACAGCCAGTGATATTATTTCATGTCTGAGACAAACTTTTTCTATATTTGGTTTGCCAGATGAAATACATTCGGATAATGGTCCGCCATTTAATTCAGAGGAATTTGATTCATTTTGTAAAGCATAGGGTATAAGAGATATAAAGTCACCACCAATAGATCCAAAATTTAACGGTATCGCTGAGGGAAGCATTCAAACTTTCAAGAAAAATTAGATAATTTTTTGTTTTATTATAGAAACATTCCTCATAGTCTTACTCAAATTTCACCTGCTGAGTTAATGGTAAAACAAAAACCGAAAACTAGAATTTCGATGTTGAAACCTACTTTTAATAAGTTACCTATGTTCAAGATAAGTAGACAACATTTTTGGAAAGAAAAAATGACGACACCGGCGCGTCTAAATATAGGTATCACTTTTGAAAAGGGTGAGAAAGTTTATGTAAAAAACGTTAGGGGTGAACAGGAAAAGTGGAGTTATAGTATTGTTTAAGTTTGATAGCATATATTGTTATGGTAGGAGAACATGCTAGATTAATGTCATATTAAAAAGTTGATTTAACGAACCCAAGAGTGTTTCATTGCAAAGACACAACAGTGCTAACAGTTTCGCAGTTGAGAAACATTCAAACTTGAAATTATCGAACATTGAAAATTTTCTAAAAAAAAGACACTGGGACAGTTTTTTTCCTCACAACTTTGCAATTTTCATCCAATTTCAAGGATTTCAATTATTGAATCGCTCATGAACCTCTTGCTGATGCGGAACTCGCTTCGCTCGTCCCGTAGGGGTTCAAAAGTGGGGTAGAACTCAATTTACTCAAGTAAGAAGTACATTTTTACTTTTTACTTTTTACATAGTTCAAAATTTTATTCATTTTCAGCTTAAAATGTGTCTTGATTAATTTATCAATAGCAAAATGAAGAGTTTTTGAATTAATGAATAAAGAGAAGAAGAATTGAAAATGAGTAAGTTATTGAACTGATGAATATAGGTACAGGGTGTTTCACGAACATCGAAACAGACGCGTTTTAAGGCCGCGCTAATGGCCGCCATGTTTAAACTGTGATTGGTTAATTTTTCGAAGCTTGTTTTAAGGTCTTTAAAAAAACGGCACTTCAGAATTGGCTCAAATTTGGCATAATCATTATTTGATCGATTCCCGCAGCCTTTTTTTTTTAAATTCAAAAATCATATTCGCAATCACCAAAACAATTAAATGTGTTGGTAGTTGCATATTTGCATGTTTATCAAGCTTGGATCCGTGAAAAGCATATTTTATTGATAACCACGAAAAACTAAAAAAAGCTAATTGTAGAGATTGTAGATAATATATCAAATAATGTTTATGCCAAAGGATTTTGGAAATTATTGCGGATTTTTTGAGATGACCTTAAAACGAATTTTGAAGGTGAAAACAGTTCAAGCAATTTCAAGTAGATGGCGCCACGGCAAAAAAGCTACATTGGGAGCATCATAATTGTATATTTGTCTTTCTCTGTCACTAAAGTGTTTCACCGACAAACAGATTTTGTTTTGGACAAATAATAAAATATTGGACCCTATGTGTAGAGTGACGCAGTCGTCATTTTCAAAAACTAAATTTAAATATGGCGGCCATTAACGCGGCCTTAAGGTATTTCAAGATCGATTAAAAAAAAATGCTCGGACACGTCATTTTTGTATTCAAGGGGAAAACTTGTTGACACCATTGGCATTTCTCTAGGGTGCATCCCCTGGGTGGGGTGACTTTCACCCCTCTTTTTAGATAGGGAAAATGGGTCGATTGGTACCTTGTTTTAAGGGTATCTTGATTCTCGTCACAACTTCGTTTTTTTTTTTAAATCGTAAGATTACTGATTAGTTCTCAAGATATTCACTGTCAAAGTTGCCATGGGTTAAATAAGAAAAATAATTCTGGTCCTGTTATTCTCAAATTCACACTTTCCTGACTTTTCTCTCGGACACGTCAATTTGAATTTTTTCAGAAGCACACAAAAAATAAAAATTGTCGTGTCCGAGAAGAAAGTCACAAAAGTGTTAATTTGAGAATAACAGTGCCAGAAGATTGTTTCTTATTTAGCCCATGGCAACTTTGACAGTGAATATCTTGAGAATTAATCATTCGATTTTCAAAAAAACATATGCAGTTATCGATAATCGAAATACCTTTAAAACAAGGTACCACTCGACCCATCTTCCCTATCTTAAGAAGAACGGTGAAAGTCACCCCACCCAGGTGGTGCACCCTAGCGAAATACCGATGGGGTCAAAAAGTTTCTCTCTTGAATACAAAAATGACGTTTCCGATCGTTTTTTTTTTAAATCAACCTTGAAATACCCTAAAATGCCACTGCTTCGATGTTCGTGAGTAGGTAGTTCACTCATTGATAAATTAAGAAAAATGTTGATTTTCATAAGTAAATTGATTTCCACCCATTTTTTGAACCTCTACCCGACGAGCGAATTGAGTTCCGCAGCAATTAACTCATTAATGAGCCAATCCGATAAAAAAAAAATGAGTAACAAAGTAAAGTTTCTGATCTGGAAATGAGTGAGTTTTTGAATTAATAAATAATGATTCTAATTTGAAAATGAGTACCTAAGTTACTAAACTGATGATAAAGAAGGAGGCACAATTAACATTGAAAATAGGCCCCTGTAAATTTCAACCAAATTCAAATATTTTAAAGGTATTAATCATTGCAGATATAGCTCATCAAAGTACGTAGGTCCTGCTATGCTATGCATAAGAAATATCCGAGGAAATATCCCTACGTAGATTTTCTTGAATATCTCAAAAAATACTAATTCGATTTTGACCTTTTTGAAATTTGATACCTAAAAAAGGACCCCAAAAACATCAAAATCGGATAAGCATTTTTCGAGATATTCAAAAAAATCTACGTAGGGGTATTTCCTCAGATATTTCCTATGCATAGCATAGCAGGACCTACGTACTTTGATGAGCTATATCTGCTATCACAGACATACGATCCTCTTTACATTTCAATTTTTTTCTTGCAATGATGATACCTTAAAAAATATTGAAATTTGGTTGAAATTTACGGAGGCCTATTTTCATTGTAAATTTTGCCGCCTTCTTTCATGAGTATATTGTTGTATTTAGAACATCATTCTGAGAAAGCAGAAGAAATTTCAAAATGTGTCCGAGAAATGACAGTAATAATGTATTGAATAATAGAGAAAAGCTTCCAGGCTAAATTTTGGAGATAGATTATTCAAATCCGAGGAAGTTGGAGAAGCTTATGGGGAAATCGCAGGAAGTATTAGAATATATTAAGGAAATCCAAGGAAGTCAGAGGAAGTTCAAAGGAAATGCAATAGGAAACGTATCAAATAATACAGGAAGCTTCTAGGCAAAATTTTGAAGGTAGATTTTCAAGTCAAGGTAGTTATGGAAAGCTTAAAGAAATCCGAGGACGTACTAGAATATATTGAAAAAATCCATGGAAGTTAGAGGAAATTCAAAGGAAATGCTGCTCGAGAGATATTTATAGCAAACACAACTTCTATGCAAAATTTATTAGGTGATCTTCTGAGAAAGTTCAAATTAGGGATATGCAAGGAAATATTGAGGTAAATTTTGGAGGTAGATTATTCAAGTCTAAGGAACCTTATTGTAAAAATTATTAAAAATCAAAATTCTTACCTAAAATATTCCTGGTGTGTTTGATTTGTTGGACGTGCAAACCGCAAGCTCCTTTAGGAATCTGGGCTACCAAAGAGTATCCTGGTGGTAAATCTGGACGTGTATAAATCCCGTTGACGGTCCTGCAGGCTCCTCTATGACAAGCTAGACAATCTGGTTGTCCATTTTCTTCGCTGCCGCCCACAACGCCTTGCGAATTGACGCTCTAGAAAAATTATCGAAATTCAATGCTGACCTATTTATAGTAGCAGAAACCACAATATTCTATACGTTTATGGTTGTGTGAGAAAATGTATACCATAATTCTTTCAACGAGATATTAATTGCGTCATTATAAATCTTCTTTGAGAAGGCGCTGAAATAAAACAACTTCGTCGTCGACGTGCCAAAAGGCCCTTATATCCGTATTAAAAGTAAATTATTATAACCGTCGCAAATCCAAAACAAAAAAATATGGTAATTTGAGGGCGGTACATCGATAAAAATCCGAAAGGGAGATTGCGATCGTGGAGTACTTTTTGTATGATCGAAAGTGACGGGTTGAAAAAATGCCTCGGCGTTATAATGAAGGCATTATTAACTCTCTGCCATGGCTAATGTGTGAAAAATTTTCGCCACATTAAAGACGATTATTTATTTTTATTATTGTACAGAGACCTTTTGTTTGCGATCGATGGACAATGAGAAATTTAATGTCCAAAATTCCTTGGACTCAATTTTTCTTGTGATCCAACACTGTATCATAACGATTAATTCGTTTGGAAAAAACTTGCAAGAAATATGAAAATTTAGTTCAAACAAAATTAATTTAAGCGTGTGAATTTAATTTGCACTTTTATTGAATTATGAGCATCTTTCCAGTTAATAATTGGCTAGTTTTTCTGTGTCCTGTAAACTTAATTTATATGCTCCTGTAAATAAGACGATTTGTCTGCAATTTATCAAGTTTCTAATAAAATGCAAATTTGTATTAATCATAGAGTAGAACCAGAAAAGTTAATTATTGTATATAGCGGTTGATTTTTTTTACCCAAATCCATATTTGAGCAGGCAAAAATGCAACTTCTATTTTATCCATCTAATTATTTTGATAAAAATCTCATGTTGCATCAATAACTTGATCGATACAAATCTACATATACAAGTATTGAAGTCGACTTGAGTACCTACTTGGGGTAATTGAAATTTACGATATTTTCCTTTTCCAATTGATGGCTATGGTGTTTTGGTGCATCTTAACTGTACTTAAATAAGTAGATAAGAAAAAAAAACCCTAATTTATGTATAATTCAAATCCACACATGCAACATTAATAATAATAATTTTCAAGGGTATTCATATGCGTGTATACCCAGTCCATTTTTTTTTTTGTGAAAAAACCACATGGCTCAGAAAGACTTTCGTTTTATCTAAATCGCCGTAATATATTCGAGCTGAATGTGCACTTTTATTTTATTTAATAAGTGATCTCGATGTTGCTATGTGCAATAATGAAATGCCAATGAACACGACGAGACTATAAAGATTGAATTTTCCATGTGGTTGAAAGTGTAAAATATTAATTGGGTTTATGGATTTTCAACGTTACAGAAAAGAATTAGAGAAATTTTCCAATAAATGATCATATGATGACTACAGTGACTCTATTACCCCACAGTGGCTACAATTGCTGTCTTATTTTTGATTGGTTCTAAAATCCCATATATTTATATTGCGAACGCCGCCATCTTGTTCCCACCTATTGCTTATTTCAAATCTGAATAAATGGGATTTAGGTGAACATCCCTCATAAAACATTGAAAACAACGTATTTGATGGACCTCATAATAGTCATCAAATACGTCGATTTCAATTTTTCATAATAGATGACGATTTAAATCCTATATATTAATATTTAAGAGTAACAAGAGGTTGGGAACAAAATGGCGGCGGGACCTCTATTGTCGCCACTGTATGTAAAGGTTTATTTAGCCACCGTAATGATGACCAAGCCGAAATTTATGGAAAAAAAAGTAGTTTCGTTCATCGATATTTTCGATACAATATCTTCAAAATATCGATACGACTTACTTGTATCGATATTCAAAATTTAGTAATATTATGTATTTCTATAGATATAGTTAAGGTATCAAGTTCAATACTGTGTGAACCTAAGGTGTGAACCATCTTAATATGGGTATAGTGTAATAAGGAGTATTAAGGGATAGGTAGGTACTTGACAAGTTATAAAATGATGGTACTACTGTAGTCTAATTCTGACATTGGATTGTCGTCATTTTCTGTTAAAAATTGTCAACGTACGATCTATATTTCGACATTCTGTAACTTTCTTTACGCATAAATATTTAAAAATCGAGCGTGGACTTCCATTAAAACCTCACAAAAACGTATTGTGGCGCTTTCCAGCATGTACAGAATTCAAACCTGAAAATCTAAAAAATATTGTCTTGTTCAAGAAAGGACATTATCGCGTTTATTATGGATTTTGAAAGAATGGATTACGGATATATAAAAGCCGATATTAGTTAGTAGTTTTGGTTGAAGATTTGCTATGATATGATTTATATAGTGATTATTGTTGTTTGAGTTAATTAGTGAAGTAATTAGTGTTAGAGTGTATAGTGATAACGTGGAATTAATTATTGTTTTGTTAATTGGACTAATAAACGGACCCAAGATTTCTGTCACGCACCCGAGAGTCGTGACATTGGTCTCAGAAGTAAGATATAATTCGAGGACTGCAAAGTGAAATCCGATTGCAGAATAGTGGGGACCCTAGTGTAGTGTGGACACTGGGACAGTTAGTCAGTGCAAGCAGTGATGATCACAAAAAGAGACTTAACCGATCGTGTAAATTACCCCGGAAGCAGTGTTGCCAGAGTTTTTCGACGACATTCCTTCAACTGATTGGCTAAAACCCTTCATATCCTTCAAAACAGTAAAACAGTGGCGTGTGGCCGGCACAACGAAATAATTTACCAGAAAAAAACACTAACATGCAAGGATAATACACACTTCTAAGGATTGCTTATCGGCCTCGTTTTTGGTAATCGCCGCCATATTGGTTTATAACCATTTCGACGTCATAACTAAGTCGTCAGTTGTTCGCACTAGCGGTCGTAGTTTAGAAGATGATGAAAACGAAATTTAAAAAAGAATTGTTTTAGAATTTTAATTAATATAGTAAAACCAAGTATCCATAAGGCAAAAGCCCGCGGAATTATAACCTGTAGTGCAAACAGCCTACGTCAAAACGAGAAAGGACATGCTGCCTACGTAACAACCGGTGATTTGGCGTGGTGGGAGGCTTCTAGGGTTGCCAGATACTTGAGTTTTGAAAATAGGAGAGCCTGTGAAAAATTATATGAGATTGGACAATAATATATGAGAATATTTTATGTACTGCAAATACTTAAATCCGAAAAAGCTCGTATCTTAACATTAAGTTATGATTTTTAGCAGATTTTGGAATGTATTGCTGGACATTTTTTTAGGCAGTTAAATGCTCCTCCTGATCCGTCAGTCTCATTTCTTGTAACAAGTTGTGGACAACACCTTGAGTTTTTTGATGTTTAAACAAATCCCTGACCCAAAATAATTTTCTTTTTTTTCTGTTTTTACTTTTATTTTTATTTATTATGTACAAAAGCGACAAAAGTAAAATATCATTTATTCGGCAACGTCGGAAAAAAGTTGTAAAATATTCGGATAAAATGTGGCGGAAAATTTTTCAGCTAATAGGAGCTCCATCGTACCATCGGACGGTCGGATGGGACGCATCGCATGAGACTCCATCCTATAACCGGAGTCTCGTGCATCCATTTTCCGACGTCCGATGTCCGAAAAACCTCCTATTTTGACATATTTTTATACGATTATGCCAGAATACCTAGAAGGTTTTTCGGACATCGGACGTCGGAAAACGGATGCATGAGACTCAGACTTATCACGTGTATGGTAGTGATATACATGGTTTCTTTTTTTTGATCAAAATATATGAGAAATAGTCTCATATTAAACATGCCAATATGAGATATGAGAAACAGTTGAAATATATGAGTCTCATATTAAAAATAGGAGGTCTGGCAACCCTAGAGGCTTCAGATTTGTTCCAAACAGGCCTCATGAGGATAGGCTATGGTGGTAGTGTATATTATCCTTGACTAACATGAACGAAATTTCTTTTATTGAATTTTAAACCTAAAGCCTGAGCTACAGCACACTAACTGACGCAGTGGCGTAGCGAGAATTGGCGTTTCGTATTTTTTTCCCATGCAACTAATTAATTCGTTTTAATAAAAATTAAATTTGTTGGTGAAATGATTGGAATATTTGATGAATAAAATTCGGATAAAAACCTTCAATCCTTCAGTAGTCAAAATTTTAAACCAAAACTCTTCATATTGAAGGAAATCCTTTAATTCTGGCAACACTGCCCGGAAGTGAATGTATACCCGATTGTGGCTGTGATAGTGAATTTTCAAGTAAGTTCTAACAAATTCTATTTTAGTCCAAGAGCCGGCAATACTAGCGGGTATGTGATCGTTGCAATGGATAATTTCCACATAAAACAATAGTTCATAGTAACCTTTAAACCAAATGGATGGGTGGCCTTGATTCTCATGGCCGTAAAGTTGTTTTATAAAAAGATACTTCAAGAACCATAAACGGAACAAATAAGAAGTACCTTGCGGTGTAGGGGGTTCTCATCATATACGGCAAACACTTTATTAATACAATTTCATGTTTCTTTTTTTGTCCAAAGACCTACAGCTGTATGCAAAATCCTCTTCACAGAGTCCTCTATTAACTTTGAAAGTGACTTTGTAGGCTGTCACTTTCAAAAATTTGTATTTAGCAAGCAAAATAACGCGTGCCCTCGACTTTCAATGAGGGTTGCCATCATTTCCGGCCATCAAAATCGAGGCCACCCTATATATTATTTGAGAAGACATATTAAAGAATATATCTACCAATTTTCAGCTATTGCAACGATAACATTGTTCCTTCGGAAAAAGAGAGGTAGTTTACGCCCAGCCATCAAAGGGTTGCGGCCATGAGAATCGAGGCCACCCATCCATTTAGTTTAAAAAAAAGTTCATAGTAGTTGAGATCAGAATTTTTGGAAGGTGATTTCTTCAATGTTTTCCGACGTGTTTTCCTTGTACTGACTATCAATCTCTTCAATCGGTCAATACTTAGTCT